ATAAAAACACACAAACATCAGTAAACACCACAGAAACATCAGTAAACACCACAGAAACATCAGTAAACACCATACAAACAACATAAAACACCACACAAACAACATAAAACCACAGAAACATCAGTAAACCACACAAACATTATAAAACACCACACAAATAACATAAAACACCACAGAACATCAGTAAACACCACACAAACAACATAAAACACCACACAAACATCATAAAACACAGCAGACAACATAAAACACCACAAAAACAGAAAATACAAGAGAAACAACATAAAACACCACACAAACATCATAAAACACAGCAGACAACATAAAACACCACAAAAACAGAAAATACAAGAGAAACAACATAAAACACCACACAAACAACATAAAACACGACAGAAACATCAGAAAACACCACACACACAACATAAAATACAATAGAAACATCATAAAACACTACAGAGATAACATAAAACAACATGAACACCACAGAAACAACATAATCCACCACAGAAATGACATAAAACACTAGGGATGCACCGATACCACTTTTTCCAGTACTCGGATGATACCGATACTTTTATTTGTGGTACTTGCCAATACCGAGTACCGATGCTGGTATTTTCATTGTATTTGTACATATTTTAAATATTGGGTAAAGAAACCAAAAGAATATGTATAATGTTAGTTGGTTAACTTAATTTATCAAATATGTAATTACGCGTTTTGCTGTAATAATGCAGGGAACCACTCGTTATAAATCTTTCAGAAATATAAGAAGCGTTTTTTTCTCACCTGAAACGTGCTGCGATTTATATTCCAAATCGACTCATATAATGCAGAAACACTCATGAAGCAAGCAAAACATGCGCAACTCGTATGCTTAAGGTTGAAAATAAATGTTGTTTATCGTGAATGTATAGTGCCCCTATAAATGTTGTTTTATATTTACGATTTAGTTTCGATCCAAATAATGCATGTGCTAAGTGAGCGAACATCAAAGATAACGCAACAGAAGTGCGCTCTCTCTCTCTCTCTCTACAGGAGCTCAGTATCGGCGCATCCCTATAAAACACTACACTGATATCTGAAAAATATTTGTTATAGTTTTATGATTTAATTACTTTTAAGCAAGTGATTGATTGATTGATTGACTGATTGATTGATTAATTTTTTTATGATTTAATTAATCATTAGTTTGGGAAACCCTGAACATCAAAGATAACGCAACAGAAGTGCGCTCTCTCTCTCTCTCTCTCTACAGGAGCTCAGTATCGGCGCATCCCTATAAAACACTACACTGATATCTGAAAAATATTTGTTATAGTTTTATGATTTAATTACTTTTAAGCAGGTGATTGATTGATTGATTGATTGACTGATTGATTGATTAATTTTTTTATGATTTAATTAATCATTAGTTTAGGAAACCCTGTATAAGAGGAGCCATCATTATACATCATGCAGTTCATTCATATAACATCTATTACAGTCTGCAGATTTCCTCTACTTATTCATGTCGGTTTGTAAAGATCCCTTTATTCATTTATTTAATCTTTTAGCTGGTCCTAGTGGCTGTTATACTGTTTAGACTAATTTCCCAAATTGCATATAACAACAACCAACATATTGTTAGTTTTTCGACTATTATAAGCAAGTGACTCAAGCGGCTGCAGTCATCTTACTTGTTGATGTTGCTGCCCTCCTTCAGTCTCTCTCCAGCGGCTCCAGTCTTAGAAGCACGTTCACTGCCGGCCAGATCAACCAGACTGATCTTACTCACTTTCTCACCAGAATTCTGCGTTCACAATTACACACACAAACAAACACAGACATAAAAGAAAATATTACAATCAACATGACCAGAGTCAAGGGCGCAGGTTTGATATTGTCATTGGTGGGGACATAACAGCAGACAACAGACATTTAATTGCTTGATCAAAATTATTGCTAGGGACAATTTAGTAGAGGCTGATATTGATAGGGACATGTCAAAGCATTTCTACTAAATTCTACGCCCTTGACCAGAGTCCAAAATTAACACTTGTCATGCATAATCCATGAATAAAACTTGAACATCCATGTATATATTTCAGAAACATTTTAGAATTATATATACTAAATATTTATATTTATATATCATATAAATTATATATATATATATATACACACACACACACACATATATATAAGTGCATGTGTGTGTATTTATATATACATAATAAATTTACAGTTCACACACATATATCATGTAAACAAAAACTTTTTTAAATTCGATAAATCGTGATTAATCGTTTGACAGCACTCTCTCTCTCTCTCTCTCTATATATATATATATTAATTGATTTAAAATTAAAATGTAAAGTATAAAACTAAAAACTAAAAAGAAAACATTTAATACATTTTTAAAAATGTAATAATATTTAATAATTAAATTTAAATAAATAAATACATTTAAAGTCATCAAAATAAGAAATGAAGTATATCCAAAATTTATAAATAAAGTTATTCTTGATGTTTTTGTGATGGAAGAGAAGCACTTATTGACTAATATATGTGAAAGACTCAGTGACTTATGCTGCATGTCACAAATAAACAAAACATTTTAATAATTCTATTGTCATTAGTGACAAATGCTGAAATGAAAAACAATGGAAGTAGAGCAGCACTGACCCCAGACTGCAGGTCATACAGCGTCTGCGTGACGATGACGCTGAAGACGGCGTGCGATCGGCTGCTCTCCTCGTTCATGTTAGTGGCGGCTACTGTGCGTGATTTATTCCCCTCCGACATCAGAGACTCAATGTCCTGCAGGAGGCGCAGATGAGAGAACATGCAACTAAACTACATGCTGGACTCACAGCAAACAACAAACTAATAGTTCACTGTAAGCGGAGACAGTGAGAGAAAACGAGCCAATCTGGACAGCAAACACATTTCTAATCAGAACATAGTTTGGTTCGTAATTTCACGTTTTTTTTTTTTTTTTTTTTTTCTGTGCTTTTCCCGTCAAAGGCAGCCAAGCAGAGCCAGAAAAGCAGTTCCTTGGCAGGGCCTAATGGCAGTATGATGTAGTCTGTTGTGACTAGTGCATTCCTTTCAGGTTAAACCAGGGAAATTGCATTGTGTTCAGATTCCAAGTCGCATGAATGTTTTATCAGCACAAGAGTGTCAAAGGTCCTTGTCTGGGCCTCAGGAGAGTGGCCCAGGAAGCCTTTGACTGAGCGCTTCAGATGGGAGAGAGAGAGACATGAAAACACTTGGTTGAACAAAAAGTAGGAGGTGAGTCTAATAGACTGTGGCAGTCACTAAGAGGGATTTCACTCTCTTTAAACTGTGACTTTTAAGAAAAACACTGTGACAATACGAGCTGAAGACAATTTGACAAAACACATGCAGAGAGGAGGAGAGAAACAGAGGATTTTGGTCTGCCTCCTCTGTGTGTGTGTGTGTAAAACAAACCTGTGTGTGTGTGTGTGTGTGTGTGGTTTATGAGGACACAAATTTGTATAATAACATGGGTATGACATAGGTATTACAACAAGAAGGTGATTTATGAGGACATTTTCAGTGTCCCCGTAATTCAAAAGGC